GGGAGGGGCCGTTTCGGCCCCCCCCTACGGGGCGCGGGTTAACCCTCGCCCGCACATGGGGGGGGGGGGGGGTGCCATCCCCACCCCTGGTAATTTTTCTGCTCTGCACTCAACATTTTTAAAGCTAGAAGCCTGATTTTTCGTATAGCTGCTCCTCTATCCTTTCTTGATGTCCACTGACAATTTCAAGTTTCTGTAGTGTTTGGTTTCGTAGATATGACCTTGTTCTTCAGGTCATGTCATGACCCAAATGACAAATACCCAATATCTTGCGTTGGCTATGGGTCTTGTGAGCTTTTAACACCTTGATTTCGGCCTTTTTTGCCAGTCTTACCTATCATGGAACATGTTCGACGATGTACAGATTTGAAGGTCAGGGTCAAGGTCAATTTAGGTCATCTAAAACGTTGCGTTTTAGGCAAGCTGAGTTAACTTTTCGTAAGTTTCTTTGACTGTATTTTTGGTAAAAGCTTCTCATTTCACGATCTCATGTAATGCGGACACATAAACAATCGGTGCACACATCAGTATACACACAGACACACACAGACATACAAACACACATCATTGACCTTGACCTTACTTGACCTGAAATGACCTCAGCAGCAAAAACCTGATCGGATAGTGTGACAAAGAGGTTCTAGTTTTCTATGTAGTTGGCTTGGCAGTAAAACGGCATCGTCATCGGTATATGATTAACTGCGCACTTGATATCCAACGACCAACGGTGACCCAAAACAGCAACATTTTTTTAGTTTTACCTGACGTTGAAGGTCAATGACTGACCTGAGAAGGTAAAACTGGGTATCGTTGGATTTGTCCCTTCACAAGGAATCTTTTTGGTCTTTACCGCCAAGCTCTATCTCCAACAGGAACGAAATGGCGCGGGGGGGGGGGGGGTGTGGCAACCCCCCCATGTGCGTTCTAGGATGGGAAAATGGCATGTGCGGCGCGGGGGGTCGAACGGACCCCCTCTCCTCGGTTTTCGCAAATAACTCGCAAAAAAGCGGCCGATCGCGACAAAATTTTCAGTACCCTCGAGTTGATAAATTTTACACCTACCCTGAAAATTTCATGACCCTGACCCAAGTGGCCTTTGACCTGTGAAGTGTGGCCTATTTCTTTAGGTCATGTTTGACCGGAATCGGGATTCTGCGTATGTCGGCTCGCATTAGCCGCGCGTTTGCAGTCTTTTCGTGTTTCCAAGCGTTCAAACATGTGATATGATGTTGCTCCCGTGCACAAGGGTGGGTTTCAAGGTCACCTGAAGTTCAGGTTTGATGACCTCGGTTCATTTTTTTCGAGTTGTACATGTTTCTAAGCTAGTTTTTGCAGCTGAATCGAATTTAGCAACCGGCAGGACCTACTGACCCTACGGGTCGACCTGACCTGACTTGACCAGACTTGGCTTAAATGCATGAAGACATCATCTGTGATCAAAACTAACATGATATTCGTGATCAGCGACCCTCAAAACCTCATAGCAGCCACGCTTTGTGACGTATTAAACAGTCCCGATTTTCCCGATTTTTGGGTCATTGACCTGACCATTGGTCAACCAATGACCTAGAACCTGAAAATTGGGTATCTTCGGCTTTTTCTCGTCACGGGCAAGGCAACACGCTCGTTTTTTCCGCGAAGCTCTAGCTCGATCAGGGGCGAAACTGCAAGGGGGGGGGGTCCAACGGACCCCCGTACATACGTTCGAGGCTGGCAAAGCATCAATATTCAATAAGGGTGAAGGATAACACCCCGTTTAATGGTACCTGAATTTTGTCAAAACAGTCACTAACCTCCAAAAGTACAAAACTGCCACCAAATTCTGCAAACAGGAGAACCTTGTGGCACAGATTGCCAGGGTTGCAAAACAAGTGGCATGGTGTATGATTCTGATTAATTCTACCAAACCCGCCCCAACCTAACCTAGCCTATCCTTAACTAGCCATACATGAATGTGCATACACATAACCTAGCTTAACCCTAACAATATGCAATGCACTGAGCTTGTTGGCAGTGCAATCGCCAGTGTCTTTTGACTTAGTGCAAAACAGATATCATAAGTATTCATGTCTTGTGGTTAGTGTCTTATGATTTAGCATGAAATATAGTTTTCAGTTCATGTGTCGCCTTGGAGGCTAAGATAGTGTGTTTTTTCATTTTTTATTTTGTGAATTCACACAGTTCTGAGGGTGGGATAAGGCTTGTGACACCCAAATTAGGAGTCCTTTTGTCAGGTAGGTAACTGATACTTAACCCGCATACCGACGGGGGTCTGCGCCAGCTTACAACCGACGGGGGGGGGGGGCGATGACCGCCCCCCCTGAGATCTCGAGAACGAAGCAAGATAGCGACAGGCGGTAAACGGCGTAGGGTACGCACGGACAAGGTCTACCATTTTTACAAAGGTCATTTTTCAGGTCAGGTCAAAGATGACGTCACAGGGGTAAAAAAAGCCAAAATGGCGGCGCTGGATATGAAGAGTTTTTATCAAATAACGTTCGAATTAGTCAAGGTAGGAACAAGCTAAGGGCATCATCGTGATCCTCTCGTCAATGCGCATCGAATCATATACGTATATGTTGACCTGGAAAGGTCAAGGTCAAATTTTGACCTCAGGTCACGTGACCTCGAGGTCATCATGTACATCATTCGATGCGTCTTGACGAGCTGAACACAATGAGAGAATCCGCGTGGCTGTAGCTCGTTCCTGTAAGGAGTTATTGGCAAGAACCGTTGGTGACCTTTGATGATGTCACATGACCTTACAGCTGGCCAACAGCAAAACAGGCCTCAAGATAGTGAAGGTTGATCGTATATGAAGTCATGTGTGGTATATGGGGCTATTCCGATGCGTTTTAGTGAAAAAAAAAAACAGGGAGTTGATTTTTTCCCCATTGACTTATAACGGGGAGATCGAGAGCTTAGGTCATCGATATCGAAATTCCGAGATATGCAAATTGTAGCTACCAACGACCAAATAACATCCTGCGACTTTCAAAGGCCTCCGTCATCCATTGTAGCTCTGACACGGTGGCAAAGTTGCAAAAAAGTGACTTAAGGTTGGGTCATTCAAAGTGACCTGGTGACCTGATCTTAAAAGTTAGGAGGAACTTGCACACCATGTGTAAAATTGATGAGAGAATAGTCACGCCAAATTTCGCGGCGCCGCGGTTTTCCCGCTATTCACGAAAAACCTCGGGGGGGGGGGGGGGGGAGCGGATAACCGCCCCCAGTCGGTGCGCGGGTCAAGAGATGTTGTTCTTACCTTTTATTTAATAATTAATTTATCTATTTATTCATTTATTTATTTATTTGTTTATTTATTTATTTGTTTTACTTTTACTGACAAATGTAGCATTCATACTTTTCATGGTTTATATTTTGGTAGCAGGCAGGGGGTGTTCTCCAACCTGCAGCCTTTCAACTTTATGAAAAGTGAGTACACTTGCACTAGCACTGTCAGTGACCATGAACATTCTAAACAAAAATCATAGTTATCAATCAACACGAGCCATACGCTTTTTGGCTTGTCCACTTATTAGTCAGTGACGATTTTGACTGCGAGAGCATTAAACTTCGCGGGCCCGGGGGGGGGGCGTTTAGTGCTAACGCCCCCCCCTGGCGAATATTGGCGACCCCCTCCCCCCCCTGGTGAATATTGGCGATAGCCGCGAACGCTTCGGGATAGGAAAGCGAAACTTTCAGTTCATTTTCCCTTATCAATTTGACATCTTCTGGAATAACATTTTTGAACTAGCCCCCTTGGTGTCGTCACAGGGTCGAGTTTTCTAGACCCCTGCTCAGCAAATTTCGGCGCCAGAGATGTGAGCTTCAAATAACTAGCTGCCAAAAATAGAGTTTTAGAGATAATTATAAATTACGAGCACGGCTGTGTAACGTTTGACGTAAGGAAAAATATAAAAAAGTTTTTTGAAAACCTGAGGTCAGAGGTCAGGTCAACAACCCGAGCTGTGGTTTTAGTTTTTCGCGAATAACTCCTACAAAAATGGTCCTAGAGCTACGGCAGTGGTACCGACGCATTCATCTTGTCAAATAGCGTCGAATGACGTATAGGGGAGGTTGGGGTAATTTGGCCGCTTTTTTAGAAAACGATGTGACTTAACCCGGCAGTTGCTGGGGTATTTCGCCACCCACCGTTTGCTGGGGGGGGGGGGGCGTTAAACGTCCCCAGCCGATAACTCGAGAACCAATAGGCGCAGCGAAACGCACGAGGCGGCAAACGAAAGAACGCAACGAGACGCTTCAGATGAGTACTTAGTCTTACAGATGACAGACAGTCTATGAGTACAGATGAGTCTTGGGGGGGGGGGGGCCGAAACGGCCCCCCCTACGGGTGGTAGGGTCCGCCGATAACCCTACGGGGCGCGGGTTAATGACCCAAAAGTGGGTAAAATCGGGACCTTTGATAACTTCATAAAGTTATGGTTTTTGTTGTTTCAGGGTGCTGATTACGAATTTCATGTAAGTTTGGATCAAAGATGATGTGTTCAGTGTTCATGCATTTCGGCTCGGTCGGGTCAAGTCAACCAGTAGGTAGGCGTCCCGTGGGCTACCCATAGTAGGTGTCAACCACTGAAAGCTTCGTAATATGCTACGTAATATGCTAATAGGCACTAAAACTATGTACTTCGTACAATGTAAATGTTAAACTGGGCGCTAAATTCGCAATCAGCTCTAAATACTACCCTATAAATATGTTAAACTCGAAAAAAATGAAAAAATGAAAAAAGGTCATCAAAAGTCAATGATCTTCACCTGACATTTATGTAACCTTGACACCCCAAAATGCATGGGGCAAACATAATTTCACATCTTTGAACATTTACAACCACAAAAAAAGACTAGAAACGTGCGGGTTATGTGCGATGACATACTCCGATCTTGGCCAAATATGGTCTTGGGAAACAGGTCAAAAGTCAATGGCCATGTAGGTCAGGGTCATGCATTTCTTTCAGGGTACGTGTAAACTTGAGCAACTAGACTGTACTGAAATTTTTGTCGACTTGTGCGAGTTTTTCGCGAATAACCGAAAGGGTCCGTTCGACTCCCCCTAAAACTGCGAGGCGTTTAAGCTAACTTATAGCACCCGAGTTGGTTCAGTCTAGGATTATGCTATTTTGATGTTAGTATGCCAGTGTGGTAAATACTTGTCATTTTGTAATGCTTCATAAATACTTCATTGTTTTGAAAACTTAGCTTTATTCTGCTACCGCCAAAAAAAAAACTGTTTTTACATCAAACTTTGCATTGAACTTTACCTCTGTCAAAGTGTTCCCTGACCCATGTAGCGGTAAGTAAATAATGTCCCGTATTTCTAAAATGTAACACTTTCTAGTTATGAGAATTTAGACCCGATGCTCTGCACATTCATCAAGACGCAGTTATGCTCTCCCCTCAGTTTTGTCGGCGCTTGCCATGTTTGCTCCCTGCTTTTTGTTACTGGGACTGTTGCTGATGGCATTTCCATTTCTGGCTAGATGGAGTGATGGAGGCGGCCAGCACAGCTGCGGCCGCGGCGGCCGCCGTGGCCTCTGGCGGCGACGCAAAAGGCATGGACAAGAATACTTTGGTGGCAGTTCTACAATTTCTGAACAAGAACAACCTGCAGGGAGCTGAGCAAGCGCTCAGGAAGGAGACGGGCTTCTTTGATGCTGTGTCAGCCGCCGGATCCGGCGGTCAGGCTTCGTCAGACGTCGGCACCGTTCTCTCTGTTTACAAGAGCGAGGGAGACCCGGATGCCTACGTCAGCAACTATGTCAGTCTCAAGGCGTTCGTGGAGAAGTCGCTGGACGCCTACAAGTATGAGCTGGGCCAGCTGCTGTTTCCGGTGTTCGTGCACATGTACCTGGAGCTAGTGTTCAACAACCACCCTGCCGACGCCGAGGCTTTTCTGGCGCGCTTCGGGCCGGACCAGGAGGACTTCTTTCAGCAGGATGTCCAGAAACTGAGCCACGTTACGTGTCCGGAGCACATGCAGGAAAATGAGCTGATACAGCAGTTCCGCTCTAGCGCCTACACGGTGCGCATGTGTCGCGACAGCCACGTGCTGCTGAAGCGGCACCTCTCGGAGAAGCAACACAGTCTTCTGCTGGGCCTGGTGCAGGACCATGTGGTGCTTGACGTGTTTGAGGGCGTGCCTCGCTCCAAGCAGCTCATCCACCTCACGGCCGGCGCGCTCGAGGGCGATCCCGGCAGACAAGTGAACAAGACCAAGATGTTGTTTGGCCTTCTGAGGGAGCCAGACATCCAGCTCACTGTGCCCGTGGAAGAAGACGACGAACCAGAAGGTGACGACAAGCCGAAGAAGAAGAAGGCAAAAAAGGACGCGCTCGTCTCCAAGAAAAGCAAAAACGACCCGAACGCGCCGAACCCCAGCCGAATCCCGCTGGCCGAGCTCCGCGATATGGATAAGCGCGAAAAGGCCAAGAGTCTGCGCGAGGCGATGAAGCGCGCCACTCTTGGGCCCGACTCTTTGCCCTCCATGTGCTTCTACACATTCCTCAACGCTGCCGACAACGTCTCCTGTGTGACCCTCTGTGAGGACAGCAGCATGATGGCCGTCGGGTTCAGCAGCAGCACTGTCCGAGTGTGGAGTCTGATCCCGCAGAAGCTCAGAGCCATGAAGTCTGCTGATGAGCTGGCCGACATTGACAAGGATGCGGACGACGTCCTGGTGCGGATGATGGACGAGCGCTCGGCGGAGCAGAGCCGCACTTTGGCGGGCCACTCGGGGCCCGTGCACGGCGTCAGCTTCTCGCCGGACCGGACGCTGCTGCTCACGTGCTCTGAGGACGGCACCATCCGGCTGTGGTCGCTGCAGACCTGGAGCTGCCTGGTCTGCTACAAGGGCCACGTGTTCCCTGTGTGGGACGTGCGATTCTCGCCGCACGGACACTACTTCGCCTCCGGCGGCCACGATCGGACGGCGCGCCTGTGGGCCACCGACCACCACCAGCCGCTCCGTATCTTCGCCGGCCACCTCGCCGACGTCGATGTGGTGGAGTTTCACCCCAACTCGAACTATGTCGCCTCGGGCAGCAGCGACCGGTCGGTGCGCGTGTGGGACGTCAGCACCGGCAGCTGTGTCCGCGTCCTCACCGGACACAAGGGTGTGGTGTACGCGGCGGCGTTCTCGCCGGACGGCCGGTTCCTGGTGTCGGGCGGTGCCGACGGCGCCGTGCTCTGCTGGGACCTGGCCAGCGGCCACCTGACGGCGGCGCTGTGTCAGCACACGGACACCGTCTGCTGCGTCCAGTTCAGCCGCGACGGCGCCGTGCTCGCCTCCGGCGGCATGGACGACTGCATCAAGCTGTGGGACTTCCAGAAGGCCACCGAGGACTCGCTGGCTGAGGAGGTGGGCGCCGCGCAGCCGGCCGACGCCAAGGTCGGCGCCGAGCTGGCGCTGGCCTCCTTCGCCACCAAGCACACGCCCGTTCTGGTGTTGCACTTCACGCGGCGCAACCTGCTGCTGGCCGCCGGCCCGCTGCAGACGTAGGCGGCGCGCCCTCGCACGCGCGCGCCACTCACCTGATACGCCGCTGCCCGCTGGCGTGTCCTCGCCCGGGCCATCACTGCCCGCTGGCAGAACCATTTTCTTTGCATAGTGCATGTGAATACATGAAATTTGTTTGAAAAAGGGTTTGTTATCGTCTTACGAATCGGTCAGTTCTGGAACACCCTGTAGCTTATGATATCCCAAGCTCGCATCGTGTTTTAAATTTTCAACCTCAGGTCCTTGAAGGTCAGATCACCAGGTCAGCTTAACCCGTGCCCCGTAAGGCTATCCGTGGACCATACCAATTACCATCCGTAGAGGGGGGAGGGGCGTTTCGGTCCCCTTAAGGTCTTGGAAAGTTACCGACCGATTTTCAAAATTCAAACGGCGCTCGATAGTTCCACCGGGGAGCTACCTTGTGATCCGATTTCATTGACCTGGGTCAAACCAATGACGTCACAGGTCAGGTCTAAGGTCGCATTTTCACTGGTAACAGGCATTCTCAGAAATGTGTAATAACTGACTAATAAACTTCGTCTCAGAAAATCAGGTAAAAGGCAAAAGACATGGTATTGAAAATCGTCGATGCAGAATTGTTAATCGAACAGATATCTTGCTAAATGAGGTCACTGATACCAGTTCAGGCCACAGACGTCTGGTCACTAAGGGTCACAATAGGGTAGTAGGATACTTGTTTTATGGTCCATTTTACATGGCAAATGCGAGTAGGTGATGCGGTGGTATAAGGCGATGATTGCAATGCGGTTTAGGCTACCGTTGGAGTTTAGGTTACGTGCTAGTGAAGGTCGGGTCAAGGGTGGGGTCAAATAAGGTCAAATTGCAAAGTTGATATTATTGCATGAAGAAGACATCGATTCGATGCAGCACGTCACGGGGAATCTAATGGTGGTCTTTGTTTTGCGCTGCATGGCCTAGAACGGCTAAAAAGGCTAAAAGTCATGTTTGAAAACTTGACATCAATTTTGAAGTCTTTCCGCCATAACTTGGCGAAAGAAGAGGTTTCGATCTGAAATTTGGCATGGAAGACGTTAGGGGCTATACCTAACAATGCAACTTATGTTCCGTTTTTCGAAATTTTGATGATTTGGGATTTTGAACCAGTCATTTTTTTGGATACCTATAATACCATGCATTTGATGTTTTATCCAAAATATTATTTATTTGTTTTTTTTTAGAGTGAAAATCGCATTTTTTCTCTAATCTGAGATAGCAGTGTTATAGCCCTGGTAATTCTACACGTTTTGCCTATGTCTTGAACATTTTTTTTTGTAGCTTCAGAGCTGTAGGCGTGACAGCTCTTCCCGCTGCCTAAACCTTTTTTTGTAAAAAATGTCACAGTCCACGACATGACGTCATTCTGACGTCATTTGTTGGTATTCAATCATAGCATTCGGAAAAATGTTTGGCCACAACGTGTAAAATTGATGTCCGGAAGGGTCCTGTAGTTTGGTGGAATATCTGCTGTAGTTGGGGAGATATCTTGGGCAAATGACAGAGGGGCCATTTCGCCCCCCCCCCCCTATAGGGCGCGGGTTTAGTGACTATGTTCTTAAACTATAGCCACTAAATAGGACACTGTCATTCCTTCAGTTTATCTCCTAGAAGTTGGATTGGAAACTCGGGGAATTACATGAGGGAATCAGTACCAACAAGTAATATCCCTCGGAATTTTGATATCGGCGACCTAAGGTTTGCGACCTCTCCATTAAACATAACTCAATGGGAGACAATTGGACTACTCTTCTTTTTTTGCGAAAGTACATTCTCAAACATCGGGATACGGGCATGACACACTGAATCGGAAAGTTGCAACTGTGACCCCTCTTTATGCCCCTGAGGTCATCTCAGGTCATGACAGTCTCCATCTGTTTTTTCTTCAATAATCGTACAAACATGCTATCGCGATGAAAACATCTTAGATGGTGCATCTAAGATCTAAGATGCGTTCAGCTCAACGATACGAATCGAGTGATATACAATATGACTTCTCCCGTGACCTTGACCTGAGGTCAAATTTTGAAGTTGACGCGATGCCGGTAAAAGCAACCAAACACAAACATGGTGCCAAAAGTTATTGCAGAATACATTTATCGCAAAAACGTTAAATTTTTCCCCTTATGTGGCTTAACCATTAACCCTGGGTCAAATCTGAGAACATCTAGAAAGAGCGTTGGGAGAGCTATGCAACTCGATTTTCTATGGCAGCTCTACTCGAGTTATGCGCCAATTGGTGAACAATTGTCAAAATCGGGAAAATATTCGTGATAAGTTTCCTTTTGGTGGCCTCCATTGACCATAGTGATGACCTGATACTGATAATAGAAATGTCAGGGATAATTATGAAAGATTTTATAACATAACGAACTTTTTATTGCTTTTCTGCGTCTTTCTAGCTTCTTTGATTCCGAGATAACCTGGTGCGACCAAATACGTCATGGCGAAGCTGGCTGAGGAGTGAGGGGCAAGACGCAGGTTAACCTGCGTCTTGCTGGGGGGGTGGTGTTTGAACACCCCCCCCCCCCTGTGGTTTTTCGCGAATATCTCAAAACGCCGTCTTTGGCACACATTATCATGCATCAATTCTACACATGTTGCAAAAATTTCAGACCAAGGTCATTCAAGGTCAGGTCACTACCAGGTCCTATACCTATGTAATTTCGCTTCTTGACACGTTTCTTATCACTTAAGTTTGAAACGTGCAGATGACCTGTTACAGGTCACTTGATCAGGTCCGTGATTTTTTAGCCGATAGGTATGCAATTGATTAAACCTCGCCCGTATTGGCCTTTTTACAGCATCTAGCGTAGGGGGGGGGGGGCTAGTAAAGTAATCTTAGGTTGGGGGGGGGGTAGAGTTGGATTGGACTCCTCCTACTCTTCGGCCTCTGGTCGAGCTAGAGCTTTGCGGATGAAAAACGAGCGTGTTGCCCGTGACGAGCACGAGAGGAAGCTAACGATACCCAGTTTTACGGTACGGTCATTGGTTGACCTTCTGGGTCAGCTCGGTTTATTTATTCATTTATTTATTTCAAATCGTGAGGCAATTCCACCGCATGCAGTGGCTATTCCATGCCTCGAGTTAGTTGTGTAATGGGAAGAATGCTTTGGTTTTCCCCATTTAACGTCACATTTGGCGGCCCTAAACCAGAAAATTCAAAGATTTTAATTTACGTCATCAAAAATTGATGACGTAAATTTTTTCAAAGCTATTTGATGTAATAAGTGCACTGACAAATTTAGAGCCTCATCGGAAGTGATGCCCTAATTTTTTTTTGGGCCATCATTATAATTTCTAACAATTTCTAACACTCTGACGAAACTCCATTTTAAAATCGATGGCAGCCTGCCTTATGTCAAGTAAATCTTTGAAAACCTCTTTTAGCGCAACAAGATATGGCAGCATTGCCTTCATGCAAAGAACTTCCCTTGACTCGGCCGCAATTATTTGACTTTCTTCGCAGGCTCCTCTGGATGTTACGAATATACTAGGGTAGGGTGGGGTAATTTGAACATGTGGGGCAATTTGAACATAGTGTGAAAAACACAAAATTACGGAAAATCCATAAGTGGCATGACAATATGACCAATGAGGGAAATTATCGTAACTAAAGGGGCTATCATATGAACGGGGTTTTAAGTTTCATGGAATGAAGATGCTGACGCACACTGTAAAAAATCATTTTCGCAAGTAAAAACGCCTAAAAACACGTCATTGCAACTTCATTGCAGCGCAAAATCTTGCATTGCTAGCGCCTAATACGCAACCAGGCATCGGTAAAATCCTTTTTGATGGGATTGCATTCCCAATCCACATTCCTAGTGCCGAAGTGGATTGCATTCCTACCCGCAATCCCTTTTTTCACTTGGATTGTGATCAAATCCGCAATCCTTTTTTGCAATCCTGTTGTATTATTATGTGCACTAGTGGATCTGGGGGAGGGAGGGGGCACCATAGGGCCGTGCCTCCATCCCCAAATCACCCATTTCTAGTACCTAGTCTTGCGAGTAATTCCTATCTAAGGCACAGGTATTTTATGGGAAATATTTTTTTGCATCAAACACCCCCACATTTAAACCTCTACCCAACCAGTGTTTTATATTTTTAAAACTCGCCCTCAAATGCGTAATTTTGCCCTTCCTATGTAGTTCATCAGCGTATATTATTTTGAGCGTTTAAATCAAAAGTGTTTAAATTATTTCAAGTTTCGATGTAAAGCCCTTGATAGCAAAGTACATTAAGCCGATGAAGCCGATTTCATAATTTTCAATCGCAACAAACCATTTCAAAGCACTAATCAAACACAATCCGGATTGGATTGCAAAAATTGGAAGTATGATGCAATCCAATCCGCAATCAAATCCTGTTTTTTGGAATGGATTTCAAATCCAGATGCAATCCACCAAAAAGGAATGCAATCAGGATTTTGCAATCCTGCAATCACAATCCTACCGATGCCTGTACGCAACGGCTTTTGTTGTACAATGACCTAATCAGTGCCTTCAACTCAAGAAATTTGCTTTTGAAACCTGTTTTTAAATATGGCAAAATAACTTTTAGCGTGGGGTAATTTGAACATAGTGTGGGAATTTCAATGAAAACTGGGATAGCTCCGAAAAAACAACGCTCCCAGTTTTTTTTTGCCAATATTTTCGACCCAAAGCAGTAGCAGATAAGGAATGCCAGTTTTATAAAATTTACGTCTAATATCCGTCTAATGTCCGGCATTTTTGTTGATTTCCGTTCAGAAATGTTAAAATCAGCCATTTGTCCAATTATGTCCGAAAATTACGCATTAATAAACACTCAAAACTGTCATTTAAATTGCTTATAATGTACTTTTACCAGCCGAAAAGTGTTGATTATATTGAGAGCTTAACAAGCTTTCCATTCGCCAATCAATGCTATGCACGATTACTTTATAAAAAGCGCTGAAGTGTCAGGCGCGGATACAAGGGGGGGGGGCCATGGGGGCCATGGCCCCCCCCTTGGCCGATTGTTTTCAAAAATAAAATAAAAAGTTAAAAAGTTAAAAAGCTGAAAAGGGGGCCTCCTGAAAATAAAGTGGCCGAAATCCGATGAGTTTTTTTTTTTAACCTACCCACTTAGTTATTCCTTAGAAG